AGGCACTGTCTTTTTTTTTTTTTTTGTATTTGCATACTCAGCACTTAGCACACTGGCATATATTAAAGATTTAATAATTTTTAAAAATTCATTTATTCATTTTTATTTGCATGGAATTCTCAGAGGTTTTCATTCTCTATCACCGCCAGTTTTATTATTAACTGAAACCATCATGGACACCTTATTTTTTTTAGCTCTTATTATGTTTTATTATGTATAAAATATTTATTGTATATTAACTTTTATATTTTTGAGGGACCTCTTTCCAGGGGTTTTAGCATCATGGTTCATAAAACAGTTTGGAAATTTTATAACTAAGAATTCCAGGACCTGAGACAAATTCAATGGGTGGATTAAGATAGAGATTTTGGGACACCCCCCCCCCCAAATACTATTGGTGAGGCCAGCATAGTCTGCCACATTATTGTTGGGTCTGAACATCCCAGGGTCCTCTGGCTAGAGAGTATTAGGTGGGTAATCTACCTCAATAGCATACAATCGCATTTGCATGGTGGGATAGGACTCGTGGAGGATTAGAGGTATGGAGAATTGGCAAAAGGAGAAAGTGTCACTCCTTGCCCCCAAATGTTGGCATTCTGGAAGAAAACTCATCATCATCACATGCTAATTATGGATGACTCTGCTGATTTATTGCTAGATTGAACATCTGTCTGATTAAAAAAAGTTCTATAATCAAGACTGGACAGTTGAGACATCAAGTAGTGAACTGTGAGTACCAGAAAGAGAATGGTTTTTATCCAATAAAAATCTCAATTCCTTCAAGCCTGTGGAAGGGTTGGGAATCTCATCGACACCCAAAAATACGTAGGCTAGTAGTACTCTCAACATTTTGTTGTCTTGTAACATACCAAGGAACTTGCCAGAAAATACAAGAAAACTCTTTCCTACAGTTTAACCACCCAAAAACCCATATTCATCTAGATAAAGAGTGAGGCAAGCAAGTATACATATAAAAGCCATGCTTCATGATGTGCCTCAGATGTCCCCTCTCTTCTCTCCAACAATGTCACCTTTCTTACTCCTAGTGAGAAATGGTCAAAAGGGGCCCCAAAAGACATATGCAGAAAACGTGTGTGCCAGGCTTGTTTAGGAAACAGTGGTCTGGAGGGAGAAGAGGGGAAGGGGGCATCCAACCTCGGGATACCTCTGAGTCTTTGTCATGTTCACTACTACATTTCCTTGGGCCATGTCACCCTTAGAGATGCAGGACGTATGCAGAGCAGAATAGGACAAGTTAACCGATGCCCCAAAATATTGGTATAGTTAGGGATAGCTTTTTGAGCAGGATGAGGAATTGAAAGTATTGCCTCTTTTATAAAGAGTGGAATCTCAGATCCATTGGTGTGGGCAGGGATTGATTAGAAATGTAAGAATTTAGAAGCAATGAAAATTGGTGCCCTAAAAAGAATCATGCCATACCACTAAGAACACTGAATTTAGCATCCAAAGACTTGTGTTTGCAACTTCATTTTGCTACTTAATAACCTTTGTTTTCTATAGTGCCTTCCTCCTCATTTTACAAATGAGGAAATTGAGGTCCAATGGGAGGTTAATGACTTGCCTGAAATAACACTGGTAGTAACTATCCAAAGTGTGATTTGAACCCTAATCTTCTGATTACAATCCTCTTAAGATTTATAAAGCTCTTTTCTAATACAAACAAAAAACACCTTTGAGATATGGATAGTACAAGTACTATTATTCATATTTAAAAAATAAGAAGACAAAGGCCCAGGTGAAATGAGTTGTCCATCTAAGTATTATGACTAATTAGCCCTTCCCACATTAGTTCCTATTAAAATAAACACATAAACAAAAGGGAGGAGGAAAGTTAATGTTGGCATAAAATGAATAATGTAACTTTTACCCAATTGCCCTGGGCCCATATAATAGCAATTTTGATTAATTTTCCTCCATCTTTTATTTATCTTTTTGTTTCTCAGTTACACGTCAAGTAGAAATCAGAACCAGAATTTGTGGTTGCTTTTCTCCTGTCACCATCCTACTTGAGCAAGTTGCATCTTTTTTTCTAGGACTCGGTTTCCTCATCTATAAAGTGAGGGGGTTGGGCTAAGTGACCTCTTAGGTCCCTTCCATCTCTAAATCTACAATGCCATGGGTTCAGAGTCCTTTCTGGCACTAAACCTTATGATGACAAGATCTTGTGATCATTCTATCAGAGTGCTCATTAAAGTCATCAGGATTAAGTAGATGGCAACAATAATGTAAATCTCAAGTGACTCCTGACTTATTGATATAGTTGTGTCAGAGAATCACAGATCTCTAGGTGGAAGGGATCTCAGAGACCAGTTAGACCAACTCACTCATTTTACAGATGAAGATTTTATATTATACACACACATACACATATAAGATGCTTATGTATGTGTGCATATGTATATAATGATATATGTGTGTATGTATAATATATGTGTATATATATGTAAATATCTAATTATATTTAGACAGAGACAGAGAAAGAATGAAATCATTTTCCCCCTGTTATCAAAACAGCTAATTCCCTCCTCCCCAGACTATAAGGAGGAGTTCACAATCTAGAAATTTCAGAACTTGGATGCTTTGGACAGAAGCCAGAGCTTGTAGGACATACACATACACAACAGCGCAGAAGGGAAGAGAATGGCTTCTCTGGAGGTGCACACAGCCCCATTGTGGCCTTGCATCACCCTGAGCTTGTTATCCCAAGCAGGGATATGATTTTGGGCAAGGCAAAGGATGAATGGTGGCCATCTGGCAAGTACACTCTACTGGTGATTTCATAGGCACTCTCTCTAATCAACAGAAGCCTATATTAAGTGCTGAAAACCTTGGTGGGGCAGGGGGGTGAGGGAGAAGGATGAACAAAGAAATATCAGAACTGATCTGTATCCTTAGGCCTCATGCAATATAGGCAAGAAGATACATTAAAAAAAACCTAGAGAATGATTATCAACTAGCCTCTATTGTTAAAGAACAATGCCTAACATACAGAAAAAGCAGTGATTTATTAAGCATTGTTGTCTATCATCTATCTATCTATCTATCTATCTGTCTATCTATCTATCTATCTATCTATCTATCTATCTATCTATCTATCTATCTATCCATCCATGGATACATCCATCTATCCATTTCTCTCTCTCTCTCTCTCTCTCTCTCTCTCTCTCTCTTTTTCTCCTCCTCCCTTTCTCTCTCTCTGGCAGTGCAGTGGGTAATAGAGTGCTAAGCTTTGGTGTCAGGAAACATGGGCTTGAATCCAGGTTCTGACATTTATTAGCTGTGGGAATAAATCATGTAACCCCAAAGGGTCTCAGTTCCCTCAACTTTAAAACGGGGATAATAATACTCTCAGGACTTGCCTTATAGAGTTGTTCTAAAGAAAAGGCATTGCAAACTCTAAAGAGCTACCTAAATGTAAAGAATAGTAATCATTATGAATAAAATAGACATTCAAGGGAGGGAGAAATTATTGTGGAGCCTGTAGTAGTTAGAAAATGGCTTCATACTGGAGCTGGGTCTTGAAGGATGGTCAGGGCTTACAAGAAGAGGAGAAGGAGGAACAACAGAAACAGTTAAATATGAGAAATCAACAAGTGGGGGTGGGAGGAAGCAGGGTAGTAGGTTTAGCAAAGACATTGAGGTGGGAATGACCTTGACAAGTTAATAAGACTATGGAAAGCCTCTCGTTATCCAAGAAAAACACTTACGGTATTGGAGTAGAAGGGAATTATGGAAGATGAGTACCTCTAGAAGTAGTACTGTGTTTTAACATCTCTACTTCTCTAAGGGACTAAGGGCCTACCCTATAACTATGAACTCTTCCCTAGCAGAGGCTTACCATATGTATAGATTTCTTCGATAATGACCAACTGCTTTCTGCCACCTTTTGACAATTCCCTCCCTCCCCCGTTACTTCATGTACCTGTCTGCACTTCTACCTATTACATTATGGGACCTCTCCCAGTTCTGTGGCCCACCTTGATATGTCTGTCTAATCCCTGATTTGAGCCTTCCCCTATTGTCTGGCCTGTCCTGATACTACCAGGTCCTATGACAGACACAAGTATTTAGGCACCAAGTCACACAATTTTGGTTTTCTCATTGTTTTAAAATAAACAACAACTGTAAAGTCAAACAACAAATGATTCAGAAGTTAATTTTTCATATTCAAATATGTTTTCTTATTCTTCCCAATGGGTCAATGGCATAGAAAGGTGAAGATGCCCCTGTTTTACACAGCCATTGCCATAAATGACCATGGACAAGTTCAAATTTAAATTTGAAATTTTAGTCTCTGGAATGGAACAAATAGCCAGTTATCTACAAGAGTTACAAAACATGAACTATAATAATTTTCCAAAAGGGACTTTTGAGGGATAGGAATCTTCTTGGGAGTTCAAAGATGAAGTTTCTTCTATCAATGATTTTTGTCACCTGGTTTCCTAAGAGAGATGCCTTATACACTCAGAGATTTAAGTGATTTGCTCAGGTCAGACCCCCAATATATGTCAAAGCTGTGACTGGAATGCAGGTATTCCTGGTCCTAAGGCCAGTTCTCTATCCACTATTCCTTGTTGTCTCTCTGATGTTGGAGGAATTTTTAAGAACAATCTTTTGGCCAGAAACTGCCTCGATGGAGTGTCAAATTCCTTTGGCATAAAAAGAGAGAAAGAACAAGCCAGAGTAAAGAAGAAATAGTCTCTTTGCTGGCCATGTCCCCTGAGGTTTCATTTTAGGTTTTAAAGGTGGATATATACCTTTCACTTTTGAAATCTTGTCTTCAAACAAACCTTTGTTCTTGAGTATTTAAATCTGAATTTCCTTTTCCATTCTGGCTTTTGCTAATGACCTAGTGAAGTGAAATGAATGCCCCCCAGTCCTTGAAAGCCCAAATAACTGCAAAGCTGATCTCAGAGCACAAGTTCTAGGGCCCAAAGTGGCACCTTCCTAACTTAACCTCTGTCTATCTTTCCTGGCAGATGACATTTGATCCAGAAATCTTCTTCAATGTTTTATTGCCCCCGATTATCTTTCACGCTGGATATAGTTTAAAGAAGGTAAGTTTGGGTGATATCTCTCCTCCTACCACCTTCCCCAGACATTATCTGGCCAGACAATTCTATTCTAAGTAAGAGGAAGTAAAATACAAAAACCTTTCTCCTCTTAAATGTATTTGTCTCATTCATTCAAAACTTTTTTTGACAATGATATTTCAGTATATTTAGTTTCCTTTTTAATTCTATGCATTTTATTTTATGCATTTAAAAACATCATTCTGAGAAGGGGTCCATAGGCTTTGCCCTACTTCCCAATGGGTCCTTGGCATGGAAAGGTAAAGATGCCCCTATATTAGACTGTCATTGTCATAAATGATTATGGGTAAGTTCAAATTTAAAATGTTTATGATTCCTTTGGATGCCTGCAACTGAAAAGTTTGCATGAAAACATATTAATCACATTTATTAAGTACCTACTATGTGCCAGGCATTTTAGTAGGTACTGAGGATTCAGAGACTAAAACAAAAGTCATTTAGTCAAGAAGCATTTATTAAGCACCTGCTGTGTCAGGCATTGTGCTAAGGGCTATACTTGCCCTTGAGGAACTAAATCTAGTTAGGAGAGACAATATGTGTTATGTAAATACAAATAGATAGATAGGTAGGTAGGTAGGTAGGTAGATAGATAGATAGATAGTAATTTTGATGGGAAGACACTAACAGATGGGAGAATCAAGACAGGCTACATGTAAAAGGTTACATTAGGGAAGGATTCTGTGAGTCAGAGGTGAGGAGGGGCAGCATTTGAGGCCAGGGGACAGTGAACAAAGTCACAGATAGAGATGGAGTACAGTGTACTATGAACAGTAAGAAGGACAATTTGGCCACATCTGGAAACAAGTTGAAAAATCTAGCTAATTACTTGGATATTTCCAAATATTCAGATGTGGGTATACATTATCTCCCCAACCAATTACTATCCTACTATGATACCTTATTGTGGTGTGGAGGTGATGCTGCCTTCTAAAAGGTTGTGTGCAATGAGCACAGATTCTGGCAAATTCCAAGCTGGAAAGATGTTGCATATGGGCCCAACTTCTATATTTCTTTTCCAACCACCAGCCTGGCTAAGTTAGGAGAGGCTAATGACCAGGTTGGCTCTAGGCTGATGAATGGCCATAAAAACTCTTCAGGAGCATCCACTAAGCAGTGAATTTATGATTTGTATTAGAGGAGAAAGTGCCTACACTGAGGAGGTCCTGGGACCTCAAATGTTGAAATAAGAAATATCTTTGAGACTACCTCATATCCTAGCTTTTACTTTTCCCTCAGGTAATAACAGTTGGCATTCATATAGTGATTTAAGGTTTACAAAATACTTTGCACATGTTATGTAATTTGATCCTTACAAAGATCCCACAAGATAGCTACTCTAGGTTTTATTATTTCTGAGTTATAGAAGTGAGCACTGAAATTCATAGAGTTTCAGTAACTTGCTCAGGGTCACATAGCAGCTGAGATTCAAACCCAGAGCTTTCTCTTTCCTACTCCAAGGCCTCTAACACATCACATCACCTTGTAGATAATTGATACAGCTTGAATGCCTAATTTCAAAACCCAATAATTGATAGTGAAGGTTTTTGGTAGATCACCAATGATTTATTCATTTAAATACTTGATGGTGTCATGCAAAAATATGTTATCATATAGATACAAATCTACAGTCTCCTAGGTTGACAGTTCTGTATATCAGTATCTGTATATGTTTAATCATCAAGGGAAAATGTTGGTTTTCTTAGAACCATTCAGTTCATTGTTGTCCAATCTTCTCTCTTCCTTTACCCTCTTATAACTTATTCAGGAGTATGTAGTAGGAGGCAGAATGATAAAGATTGACTCTAGTCTACTGATTACAAAGCACTTGGGCTCCAATCCTTCCTTCACCAGTTACTTGTATGACCTTGGGCAGGTCATTTGATCTCCCTCGGTGACAGTTTCCTAATCTGTAAACTGAAGAGGTAGGATGAGGTGGTCTCTGAAATCCTTTCCAGCTCTTGAGTTACACCCCTACAAGAGTAATCAGAGTACAGTGCAATATGTCCAGGTTTAAAATTTTGAAATTGCGATCAAATTCTTATGTATTTTTTTCTCTATGAAAATTGTATCCTATTCCATGATCGTCATTCACCATCTTTCTTGTGCTATTTCTTTTCCAGAGACATTTTTTCCGAAATTTGGGATCAATTTTAACATATGCTTTTTTGGGAACTGCAATTTCCTGTATTGTTATAGGGTAAGTGAAGCCCCAAGCATATAATTTTGGCTGATATTCGGTGTTCATACTATGTTGAAGTGTGTACTATTGCAATGACTGAAAGTATAGAAATCATCTACGTTTATTGAAATGGTGTGTCTTCAATATTCTAAACTTTGAAACTATTGACAGCAATAGACATTCGGTTACACAAACGATAATCAGTCTATCAGATACCTTTGGTCTTCAGATGGAAATATATAACTGGCCTCTATTATTTACAAGTTTTCTTTATAAAACTTTGTGTGTTAACTTAAACAAGATAGTAAAAATACTCTGTTTATTTCCATATTCCCTTCTGAACTCTTTTTCCTGTATATTTATTTGACTTTATTGCTATTGTGATAATTATTTCTGTAATGATAATTGTGTATTTTTTCGGATTTTGCTTTTTTCATTTTGTATTGTTTCATGTCTCTTTCCATTTAGGGGATTTTTTTTATATTTGCCCTTTCTTACAGGACAGTAATGCTCCATCATGTTCATATGCTACAATTTGTTCAGTCATTTCATGAGAAACATAGGTTATTTCAATTCTTTCTTTTTCTTTCACAAATAATGCTTCTTTATTTTTGTACAAATAGGTCTTGTTTTCCTGACGAAAACTTTCTTAGGATACTGCCTGAGTAGTGCAGTCACTAGGTCAAAACACATGAAGTTGCCTAGTTCTTATTCTCAAAGCACCATATTGCTTTCTAAAAATATTGCACCAATCCATAGCTTGACCCATGATGTAACAGTGTATTTGTTTCTCCACAACCCCGTCAGCCTTGAATTCTACCATTTTAAAATTATCTTTGTTAGTTACAGTGTGAAAATGGCATTTTAGGATTGCTTAAACATATTTTTCTCAGATTAGTGAAGTTGGAAGAGCTTTATTTTTGGAGGGTTAGCTACTGATGATTTGTGCTTCTATTTTGGATAACTACCTATTCATACAATTTAGGCACTTGTCTACCAGACAATGGCTTTTAATCTTATGAATTCAATTCCTTAGAGATTTTGTACGTTAGATTTTTAACATAAATATTTATGGCAAAACTTTATCCCTAGTCTGTTTCTTTCTTTATTCTGTATGCATTGATTTTGTTATCTGAAACTCTCTACATTTATATTCTCAAAACCTTCAATTCTTTTCTCCTATAATTGCTTCTATTTGTTGAATAGATAAAAATTTTCCTTCTCTTCACAATTTGTGTAAATATATCACTCAACTTTCTTCTTTTTTAATAACAAAAAAAATTTGAATCATTGATCTATGTAGAATATATTATAGCATATCATGCAAAATGTGGATAGATGGTCTCTAAGGTTATTTCCATCTTTAAATCTATGATCTTATGATCTAATAAGCTTTGCAGGGGTTTTCCACATTGCCATACAACAATTTAATTATTTTTGTTTTGTGTTTTACTAAATAATCATAGTGTTTTATGATGTCCAACAATAGTGTCATAGATTTATCAAAAATTTAACAAACATTTATTAAATTCTGGGGATACATATTTGCCATATTTGCCCTCAAGGCATTTACATTCTAATCGAAGAACCTAATTCCAATTTAGAGCTGGGGAAGACCTTAGAACTAGCCCTACAATCTATCATATATCTTTAGTTCTAATGCTTTATTATCTAATCCATACCATTGACTTGTTCCTGTTTAATCCAGGACCTGAATGCTTTGATAATTACCACCAATTATAACTATATCAATTGGTAAAATTTGAGATTGATTACTGAAAGTCACTCTTTTCTTTGATAAAATCCTTTGATATTCTTGTCAATTTGACCTTCCATGTAAATTTTTCCAACCCAATCCTTGACCTTTAAAACAACTTTCATTGATGAAAAGCAGTTAAGCCAAACCATCAGCAAAATAACTTCATCTGACAGAATGAATATCATTTCCTCCTCCCACCTCTCTACCAAGAGGAAAGAAGTGGGCTTCATTATCTACACTCGATCAACCCTTGACTTTTATTCTAGCCAGCTGTTATTTATTCTAGCCTAAGAGATGGTTATGAAGCTTCAAATTGACATTAATTTATTCATTCTCCCACTTCTTATATAAAGTGTTTAAGATACTATTACCTGTAGAGTTTAGGAAGGCTCGTGGCTGTTTAAACAAGCAAAATGCTTTTGGCTTGAATTAGCTGCCAAGTGTATCATGTTTATCAGGCAAAGCCAACCAACCCCCAGTGTGAAAATCTCTCTCACTGAATTTAAACACACCATACAACCATAGAACTTTTTGTCTCAGTGTTCCCAATGCCCAGCACAGTGCCTTGCCTATACATAGTAGATACTTAGTAAATACTCATTTAACTGAGTTGAATTAGACATTTGAAAAAAAAATTGCCTTGAGATAGGGGCTTGCCAAAGCTTAAGCCTAGAATTTTATCAGAATTTGATTCCTCACTGGTGTTGATATTAATTATGACATGGAAAAGTAGATTTTGTAATTAGAAGACAAGTGGTTTCCAGAGGCCTTTTCCTACCTCAAGGTGGGCATTCTGCATGGCACCTAACATGTTATAGGTATTTAATATCTAGGTATATTGGTTTCATTTAAAGTCCCTACCACTGTTGAACACTCTATGAACTATGGGCTAATAACTTATGCATAATTACCCCTTCAAGTCAATAATAATTTATTAAGTGATTACTGTAACAAGAAAAAATGTACAATGTCACCTACTGATAATGAGAAGTGAATGATGGCCATCTTGCATGTTTATCAATATCAACACAATGTCAAGAGAATTTGAGAAAGGCCGCCAACATATTGGGTAGACACTATGAACTTATGGGGAGAAGTGGATAAGATTCACAAAGGACAGGGAGGCATGGAGAGGTTGTGATCTACATTGTTCAGGAGAGTGCCCATGTGGATGAGATCGAAGATCCATTGGAGTATTATGAAGACCTCTCATGATTCCATCTGTAAAAGGAATTCCCAAATAAGGAAACTCCCTTGGCCAGGGAGTTTGCCCTCAATGTAGGTTGACACTTTTTTTCTGCAACTTGCAGTCTTAGAGTATTTCCTAAAACACGGCACAGTTCCTGGCACATTGTAGGTGCTTAATAAATACTTATTGACTGACTGACTAACTAACCATCTATAGAGTTTTGAGGAGTTAGGTCCAGGGTCACACAGTAAGCATGTGTCAGAGGAAGTACACACACTGTTCAGAACTTGAGTATTCCTGGTTCTAAGGAAGATCTCTATTCACTACACCATGCTGACTCTAATCCTTAGCATATGTTGTTGTTTAGTCAGTTTTCAGTTGTGTCCAACTCTTTGGGATCCCCTTTAAGGTTTTTTTGGCAAAGATACAGGGGTGGTTTGCCATTTATTTCAGTGGATTAAGACAGAAGTTAAGTGACTTGCCCAGGGTCACACTGTTGGTAAGTGTCTGAGGCTGAATTTGAACTCCGTTCTTCCTGACTCTAGCCCCCAGCACTCTATCCACTGAGCCATCTAGCTGCCTTCAGTGGATCCCAGCTATTTTGATTGAAATATTTCCTTTCTATACTTCATGCAACACACATTTAGTACCTATCAGGTAATATGCTAGGCACTAGTGATACAAAGCCCTGAAGAAACTTACATTCTACTCAGGGGATACAATAAGTAAGAGCAAGATAATTTGAGTAGTGAGTAAGTGTTCACTTCTTAGGGGGATCAGGAAATGGTAAGGGGCTAGAAGCTGAGCAGAGCCCAGTAGGAAGTTAAGGATTCTAAGAGGTACAGGTGAGGAAGGAATGCATTCCCATCATTCAGAACAGCCCATGCAAAAGCAAGGAGGTAAGAGGTAGAAGGCTGAATTTGAGGCATAGTTGTCCCATGTTAGAGATAGTTCTCATCTTCTGTAGGATGAGGCAATTAGACTAGATGAGCTCTTTCATCTTGGAATCCATTATCCTAGAAATCTAGTAGTTGGTGGACTGTGTTTAGCCTGAAATAAATGTGTAAATCAAAGTCTTGTTATGTATCCTGTTACGTATTGTATCTTGATATGTATTGTATCTTGAAAAGTTACCAAAATATAAAAAAAATAAAACATAGTTCTCTGATTCTTAGGAATTCACAATCTGGAAGAAGAAAGGACATGTATTGTAGTAATCCACACATGGTCACAGCCATGTGCAAAAGTACTTACGCATTTTTTAGATGAAAGGGAATTGTAAAGAAATCAAGTTACCCAAGGTTCCAGTAGCTTAAGGGAGATTGAAGGATTCAACAACAGTTTCACACAGGGACTGAATCTTGAGCAGAAAATTAATGAAGGAGACAGACATCCTTCCCTCAGGACATTCTACACAGCATGTATGGCCTCTGCCCTGATTCTAGCATGGATAGTAAACAGCAAGTAAGTTTCCTGCCTGGAAAGCCAGATTCATGGTTATTACGCAGAGAAGAGATGAATTTATTTTTCTTGTCTTTAGAGGGCAAACCTTGGAGCAATGGGAGAAACTTGTAAAGAGGAGAACTTAGTTTTGGCGTCAGGAAATACTTCCTGACAATTGTTGTTGTTGTTCAGTTGTTTCTTTCAAGTCTGACTCTTTGTGACTCCATTTAGGGTTTTCTTGGCAAAGATACTGGAGTGGTTTGCCATTTCCTTCTCCAGCTCGTTTTACACAGATTAGGAAACTGAGGCGAACAGGGTTAAGTGACTTGTCCAGGATGACACAGCTAGTAAGTGTCTGAGGCCAAAGTAGAACTAAGGTCTTCCTGACTCCAGGTCTGGCTCTCTATCTGCTGTGATACCTGACAATTAGAGCTGACCTAAAATGGAGCAGGCTGCCTCAAGAGGGCAGGTGTGCCTCCTCAATTGAGGTCTGCAAGCAATGGCTGGATAATCACTTACCAGTTCTGTTGTAGAAGAGTTTCTTTTGAGGGTATGGGTTGGAGTACATGGTCTCTGAAGGTCTTTCCTTCTGTGCTTCATATAAAATATGATGTGAGTGGGTGGAAA